CTCTGTCTGGTACACAGATGGCACTCTTCTCTCCATATATATGTGTATATATACACATACGTATCTATATACATGTAAGTATATGTGTGTATGTGTATATATACATACACATGTGTAAATATATATTTCTTTGATGAATGAATGAATGAATCACCCTTACCCTGCCTTTTAGCTCTTCCCCAGTTGGCTCCTGGATTAATGAACCAGGCTTCTAGAATGACCCTCTGCAACCAGCCACACAGCATCCTGAGCAATTTTCTTCAGCATTTGTGACCACAGACCATTCTGAGAATTGGGTGAGATCACCAGACCCTCACCTCATCAAAGACAGTTTGCCATAAAGTTTACATACCTGAAGCCCTCCCACATGCCCCAGAGGACTCCTGCCTCCCAAGATAAAAATATAACTAGAATGATTTTCCAAAAAAACATGCTTTTGATCCAGGTCAGTCCCGTTTGAGTCTCTGTGCTTCTTCATTGCCTCCAGAGTGAAGTTCAGACTCCTCAACTGCACACACAAGGCCCTTCCAGCCCCTCTTCCCTTTCATCTCTTGGGTCACATCCCTCCAGGCTCACTCTCCCTCGACCATGCCCTGAACTAGCCGAACGCTCGGCCAGCTCTGCTGCTCGGCCTCCACCTCTGCTGCTGAGAACACTTTTTCCCCTTAGCTGGGTCAGCCCAACACTCTGCTCCTTCTCTGGGTGCTCTTTCTCTTGTACTCCCAGAAAGGTGCAATTTCCCTGCCACACTTGGAGCTTTGGAAGGCCAGGAGTCACATGCAACTCACTGGTGCATCCTCAGAACCTGCCACATGGAGCATCTCAACACATGTTTGCCGGACATGGCACCCCCTTGTTATCATTCTCCATTCCCCTGAGTTTTACTTGGTGGTCCCAGGGAGCAGCTTCAAACCCAGCTCTATGAATGGAGCCAGCTTTAGACTAAAGCCAACCTGGAGGAGGGCAGAGCAGAGAGAGAACGCAAGCTCTCGGTGACCTAGTTGAGGAGCTGGATCAGCCCTTGCCTGAAGCCACCCTTCTGGATGTTTCCTTTCCATAAAGACATTAAATTCCTTTTACTAGTTTGAGTGCGAAAGCCAACCTGGAGGAGGGCAGAGCAGAGAGAGAACGCAAGCTCTCGGTGACCTAGTTGAGAAGCTGGATCAGCCCTTGCCTGAAGCCACCCTTCTGGATGTTTCCTTTCCATAAAGACATTAAATTCCTTTTACTAGTTTGAGTGCAATTTTCTATTACCTGCAATCCAGGACAGCAAGAAAAAAACAAATGGAAAAATGAGCACAATGACCCCCAAAACCCTTTTAACCCAGCCGACAGTCGTATGGTGTGCATTAATTTCCTCTTGCCTTCCTGTGCCTGGAAGAAAAAGTGGGCCTTCTTTCCAAAGCTAACACCCTCCTCTCCTTCTCCAGAATCTGGTTCCATTAATTACCCCCACATTCTCTCTTGTGTCTTTGGTTTTTCCTACCCAGTGGCTTCCTATCCCTACCTTATCCTAAAAAGTTCTCTCGGTACCCCCTGAAGCTGCAGCCTCACCCCTCCCTCCTGCCCCCTCCAGCCTTCTCTAAAGGTGAGCATCCTCTCTCTGCCTCCATGCAAGAATGCACAGGGGCACTTGGTGAAGTCTCATCACCAGACTGACCTTCCCAAAAAAGCTTTGGACCCTGGTCCCTGTTTTGTGTGCTATGTGAGGTATGGGGCCTGGCTCCAGCCTTCAGGTGTCAGGGTCTCGGGACTGGCCACCCAGGTTTTGGGGTTCAGGGCCACCATAAAGCTCTGCTGAAGTAAGAACCACTCTGTTTCCAAGGAATGGCTCCCTCACCCAGGCAGGCTCTGGACATCAACCCTGTCTCATCACACCAGGCCTGCCAATCAGGTGGAGACAAGGTGAGTCCTCAACCTGGTCCCAGAGCACAGTGAAGAGCTGGGCCCGGGCCAGGGGAGCAGGCTCACAGTGGCAAACAGGAGCAGCCTCCTGAGTAACAGAGTTTTAGCCTCTTGGTCAAGAGAGGCAGGGGCCTCTCTTTTGGAAACACGAGGTTTTCAAGCTCTTTACTTTTTCCCTAAGTATATTCCTGCTGCTCCTGTAGATTAAGCCTGATTTCTGTGGAAAATATCAGACCAACAGCTAAGGCTAAGCTTCAGATCACAAGGAAATGGTGTCTTGGTCCAGATCAGATCTTTAAAGCAGAGTGAGGAAATCCCAGGAAATCTCAAGAACGTGGCAGGGACAAGGTCAAAGACAGAGGTCCAGCTGCTCTCCCCATCTGGAGGGTTTCTGGCCCAACCCTTTCCTTGGTGCTCCATTTTTAGAAAGTGGAACCTGTTCTCCAGCTTGGTCAAAGAAACCAGAAGGTACAGGTAATTGCCCACCTAAGCAAAGGGCAACCTAAAAAAGGAAGGGGGGATGTCCGAGTGAAGAGTGGGCAGGGAAAAGGGGATAGTCTTAGAGAGAAGGCAGAAAATTCTGGGCCTTTAGGCAAGCCAGACACCAAACCTGGAAGCCCACCCAACCCCACAGCCAGTCCTGTAAAAGAAGAAACAGTTCCGGGACCCTACCCATCTTGGCTGCTTCTGCTTCCAGAAGGCTGGGCCAGAAACAGCACAGACCCACCCATACCCCCACCTACCCTCCCCGCCCACCCAGACACATCCCGCTACACAGTCACACCCCGTTCAGGTACTGTAGAGAGACACACACCAACACCGCTTTGTGGTTCAAACTGTTTTATACTGAAATACACATGAGCTGATCCTAAAAAAGGTTGAGTTGGGGGAGAAAGAAATGACAAAAGTGAGATGATCCCAGGGCTTGGTGTCAGCAACTGCTGGAGCATGTGCCAGTCCATCTGTCTATCTGTTCACCCTGGCAGGACGGTCATGCCTTGGAGGTCTGGAGGAGCTCAGCTGAGCTGGGTAGAGGAGGAAGGCCAGTCCTGGGCCAGGAGGACATGGTGCCCTCCTCCAGGGCAGGAGAGTCCTCAGCTGAAGGGCTTCACCAGCTTCATGGCAGCATAGTTCTGGAGGGAGGGAGGAGGCAGGTGCACATGGTGATCCCAGGATCTGGGCTCAGAGGATGGGGGTGAGCTGCCAGGAGGCAGGGGCTAGGAAAGGAGGCTGGTCGCTGTCCAACCACCTGCCTGCACCTTGCCCTCCATCCCACGCTCGGCTCAGCATCCACCCTGCCCAGTGCTCTCACCAATCAGGCAAACCCAAACCCTCCCAAACAACATTCACTCTCTCCCGCCTGGGGGCCAAAGCTGCCTGAATTGCTGTCTTCTCCCTCATCAATCCAGGAGCCACTCCTGTGTTCCAACCAGCTGCCAAGGCGACTCTGATCCCCCAGGCCCTGGCCAGAGGGAGGCCTGCCCTGGCCTCTTCCATCAGACAGGTGCTGAAGGCCAGGCCAGGGTTCTCCCCAACCACACTCCTGTCCAGAGAGCAGAGAGAGAGCTGGGCCAGGTGTACAGGGATGGCCCACTACAGGCCAGTACCAGAGGTGCTTGTCCTTGATGAAGCCCTGCCCACTGCAGGACTCGCAGGAGCCTTCCCTCTCTACTCCTCCCTCCAAAAACCATGAAAACACACACAACACAACACAGGGCTCCTAATTGGGACAGTATGTTCCCCAGCGCCGGCCCGGGAAAGCCAGTTCTGGAAACAAAGCCGGCCCTCCTTCCCTGCCAAATCGCCTCTTGCCTCCCCATGGCTGGCCCTGCTCCCGGCTGGCTCTGCAGGGGGAGCCGAGAGCAATCAGACAGGCCGCCCCCCTCGTCCCCGTCCCAGGGGAGCTTCCAAGAGAATGGGGGATTATGCCAACTGCAGGGAGCAGCCCCAGCCTTGGGCCCCTCTCCACCAGCCTTGGCTTGAGGCATCTAGAATAGGTCCTCAGCCCCCATGGCCTGAAAGCCAGGTGAGGGTCACCATGGCCAGCCCTCATAGGTCTAGGACGGGCCAGGTGATTGAGTGACTTGGGTGGAGGGAAGCAGAATTTGACAACTTGTAGCAAAGGTCTGCAAGCAAGCACAGTCCCCAGCCTCAGTCCCAGGCTGCCCCTTTGATTCCCAGACCCATCTGCAAGGATCTGACCCCACATGCCAGCTCTGGGAGAGAGAAGGCAGGGCCCATATTTCAAGAAGGATAATTTCCAGAAGAACCCAAAGGAGAGTGATGCCACTGGTGGGGGGAGGCCAAGAGACAGGGGAGGGGCTCCAACCAGGGCCCCTCAAAGACCTATTCTGCTCCTGCCCTTGGGCTAAGGCTACACCAGGGATGAGGAAGTGACCACAGGCTGGAAGTGACTTGGAATCTTCCCTTCCTCTCCCAACCAGGCAGCAAGGCTTCCTTCCCTGGGTCCCTGAAGGCCTGCATGTGCCACCCAAGGGCCTCACAGTGCAGGGCCAGCTGGTTGGGGCTGGGGTTGGGCAAAGAAAGGGTGGTGATGACGCCACTTTGGACCTGCCCCTGCCCTCCCCTTGGCCCTTCAGGAGGAGGCTCAGCTTAATGTGCAGTCCCCAGGGAAGGTGAGGGGCTCCGTAACCACAGTCATAGCCACTGAAGCCAGAGCTGACCCAGCCCAGCCCCTCCTCATGCAGATGCGGAGAGACTTGCCAAGGTCACACAGGAGGTGTCCTGCATAGCTCTGTCCTGTCCAAGAACATCTCTCCAACCATAATGTGCGCCTGTGCGGATTCTCCCTCAGCAGACGGGGGCAGCCTGGGACTCGGCGTTTCTAGCAAGCTCCCTGCTAATGCTGATGCTGCAGGTCCTCAGGCCACATTTGAAGAGTGAGGGTCTGCTCCAGCTCTCCTTTTTCTAAACTCCCAGAGCCTGAGCCTCATGGCGGAGTGCTTGATTGTAGATGGTAGTTTTCCTTGTTCCCTAGTTTCAGTGTCTCCGTGAGGGACAAAGAACTCCCCAGGGGCACGAGCCTCACCTTCTCTCTCATGCCCACAGCACACCCTCACCACCCAGACATGTAAGAGTGTTTAATAAAGCCCGCAAGGCTGAATTAATGGCAGCCAGGCACACTTGAACTGGGAGGGGTGGTAAGCTGAGGCGGGCCAGAACAGGGGAGTCACGCCTCCCCCAACTCAGCAGCCTGGGCCTGCCCCGTGAGAGGAAGCTCCAGGCAGAAGTCCTGGGACCTGATCCCAGACTCCAGGTCATCACGGGCAGTAGCCCATGCCTGGGTCACCACACTTGCATGTGCCCTTCCATGGTCCTGTATCTCATCTTGTGTTTGTCATCTTGACTTCCTTTGCTTCATGAGACCCACATAAGTGTACAAACTGCAGGTCCCCACAGCCTGGATCCACCCCTGGTTATATTTTGTCAATAGGCCATAACTCCTCTTGCTGAGCCTCCGAAATGTTTGAACATGGCACCCCAGGCAACCACAGCCAGCAAAGAGGGCCTGGCCTGTAGCCGGACCCAGCGGCCACGCTGGTTCTAGATTCTCCTTTGTTGCTGTGGCACAGAGGGTGGCTGGGGCCTGGACATGCAAACCAGACAGGTGCCTCCGCTGTCCCTCTTGGCTCGTGATGTTAGGGACTGCCCGGGATGGCTTGCAGTTTCAACTCTCTTCCTCCTGTGAGGCACACTCTGTGACACAAGGCACTCACTGCCAGCTACAGTGGGAGAAAGAGTCTGTCCCTTTTCATCTCCCAGAGGATTCACAAAGCAAAAAGGTCATGTGGGAGTAATTCCCCGAGCAGCCTGCCTACCATGGGGACCATGCTCTGGGCCGGTGTCCTGGTGCTGACCAGGACTGAGGCCCACAGTGGCCGGAGCCCTGAGCTAGGAACTGCGCACAGATTGCTGTGCAGCCTGGAGCCCGTGTCTTCCCCTCTCTGGGTGTTTGTGTCTTTGCTACTAAAATCAGGGCATTGAGGACTGATCACACCAGTCTCTCTACTTTTACAAGGGAACTTCAAAAAGCTTGTGGAAAAA